CCGTAGTCGCGCGCTTTCGCTGCTGTTGTCCGTGCGCGACACCGTCCTTGTGAGACCTCGGCTCCATAGGCGGGCGTTGACCGCCAGGAGAGCGCATTTGGTCGTGCACTTGGTTGACTGGCCAAGATCCTTGACCGTCTCGAATCTCAAGTGTGTCGTGCTCAAAGGCATCGCCATGCATGATGTTGTATTGAGACGCCGAGCCAATCGCAAGGTTGTGGTACGTGCCTTGCGTTGGTCCTTTTTGTGCCAAGTGGTTCCCATTGCGGTCTAGAGCTGGTTGTATGCTTAAGAGCTGATGCCCGGAGCTGTGGCCGATCCTGCTTACCGGCTCGCAAGCCTTCGCGCGAGCTCTGAGCACCTGAATGTTGGACGTGAGATTGGTCACCATAGTGGTGGTGTAGGCCTCGAACTCGAACAGACGCGCCTCAAGCAGATCAGCGTATCGACTCGCGGCCTTAAATTCGACATGCTTGCGAGCGTTTTGCAGGGTGTCAGACAACTGACTATCGTCGCGCACCGCGATGATCTTGGCATGAGAAGTGACGAGCGGCAACAAGAGTGGATATTGGTGCAAGAACGAGTCGACGTCTTCGTCCACGACACTTTCTGCCACCGATTCGTCGTGCGGCTTGTAGATGTCGCGGAGCGCCTGGCGAAGCAAAGCCACGTGAATGCCAGCAATATGATCGACGTCGTGAGGCGCCCGAGGTCGGTGGTGCCCTGCTTGAGATCGCACGCGTTGCTCAAGTGCACCTCCGTCTCCTACCGGCGCCATCGTCTGGCCGTGCTGACTTTCTGGACGACTGTGCCAGCGCATTTTTGGCGGTTTGGAGCCTTGACGCCACGCATTATACATCAAGACTTCGGGTCCTGTCATTGTACTTTTGGCAAGCTCGAAAGCGTCGATGAAGTTGCCCTCCGAGTCTTTGAGCCGGCCGATGGCTGCAGCGATTGATCCGCCACTCAGCTGGATGCCACGGGATTAGCATTCAGACTCTGTCAAGACAGCTCGTATGAATGGTGCTCACCACAATCTTTGCGGCAGCGTCTGCGATCTTGAAGATTTCGCCCATGTTGTCGTGCTCTGTGATGGATCTGCGCACGCATGGTCGATCAGTTCGAGCACGCAAGCCTACTTTTGATGCATACAACTGCTCTCACCTGGCGAGTGCATCACTCTGCGTCTCATTGTAGCTAAAGCGTTCGTTCTTTTGCAGACACAGAAAGAGGACACTGATCAGCCTGGGAAAATGGGTAGAGGAGTGATCGAGAACTCACGTGGCAAAACAGTTGTTCCAAGGTAGGCTTCGCCGCCTGCACTTCACCGACAGGATGATCAGCATGATGTGAAGACCCGGCCTCGCGGTTCGAAATGTGCGTCGGCATATTGGACAAGGTCAGCGTGTATCACTGCGGCTCGACGCGGAAGAGGCAGAGCTTGCACTACTGAGCCAAGCGATAGTGTGAGGAGAGGTGATCTGAAGGAAGCAGGACAAGAGGCTGCGGGACGGGGACGGGGACGGGTGTGAGCTGACAAGGAGCAGATGGGATCAGCGGAGAGGCGTCGTCTCTGCCCTGCCTGCCCGAGTCTGATTCCTACAGCAAGGGCGATTCGATCCCACTGCGTACTGCCGATTCGTGATTGTTGTCTTGAGCGTGCGACGGTACCCAGCTCGCTGGCGGTCGATGCCTATAGCCAGGACTTTTGCATTGCAAATGGACGCTCTTGCTGTAATCCAGCTGCATGGCTTGACGACCGCGACCAGCATGCATCGTCGTCTTAATCACGCGCGGTCATCTGCGCGTGGGCGCCGCCTGCTGCTGGTATCGCTGATGGTCGCGCGCGGGAGCGATGAGGATCGAGAGTGTGTGTGTGCGTATTTAATACACACACACACACTCACACACATACATATATATATGTGTCAGCACAGTTCCCAATTTGTCTCACCTGAGTCACGAAGCAGCATGTCCACGGCACACGCGTGCACGGTATACCATGCAGCAGAGATGAGCAGACACAGCGCGTGCATGGCAATCAGAATCACGAACGGTGAACCGCGAAGGCGCGGTGTCCTCGTTATTGAAGATGGTTGCTCCAGTCCGATGCATACATGCGCCTATCCCTGCTTGAAGCGCGTGTTGTCGTCCCATCCCCATGCTGGCAGAGCTCAGACTCCAGGCGCTGTTCGTGCTGCATGCTGAGGACCTTGCGATCGTTAATCTTGCGTCACACGCGGCATGTGATGTGTTTTGGATGGATGGAAGTAGACAACGGCGTCTTCGAACCGTTCGTGCACCGCATGCGTACACCGACCGCGTCACGCGCACGCCGATGAATCAGAGATGAGCGAGCGAGGCACGATCGAGTGACGCGAAGTCCGTGCGCACGGATCGCCTCAGCAGGCAAACGATCCAGGTCCGCGCGTTTCGCTCCATTCAACGATGGCCTGTAAATTCAGCATCACTCGTGGTTGACCTCCTAGCTACCCATCCATCTGTAGCGCGCAGCCTCGTGTCAGACCGAATGCTCGACTGATCGGTCGTCGCACTCGCGACTTTCATCTGCACTCACGCAAGCTCTCGTCCGCGTCTCGCATTTGGCTGGCCGGGCTAGGTCTGAGCACGAGTCACCCTGAGGTAGTCTCCCGAAAGGGCTCAACAACACGAGGCCTCTGGGAACCGGCTTCGGGCACAAGCTGAGCAGATCGACACCTGGCGCAACATGCCAGAGTCGGATGCTCAGTCCACCTTTATTGGCGTCGCCATCTGTCTTTGCGCAAATGTCGTCATCTCGCTTGCACTCAACTGTCAGAAGCTGGCCCATGTCAGGATTCAGCAGGATGGCGAACACGATGCGGACCAGGGCGCAACTTCCTCCAGGTCAAGGCAAGGTACGGAATACCAATCAGACTCTGAGCTCGAGAACGGAGGAGATGGGGGAGATGCAGGGGGCGCTCGGGATGTGCTGGGTGTAGTGGTGGTGATGGAACGAGAAAGAGCAAAGCGGACTGCTCAGCGCGAGCACCTTCCGCTCTTGGCCCCGACCAACGCTGAGAACGGGTCAGGCACGCTGGACTATGGCAGCAGCGGGTCACAAGGCGGCACCCAGACAAGCTCCGAGCGTTCCTCGCCGAATGAGAGCAGATCGCGCTCATCAGCTTCACCGACAAAGCCCAGAAAGAAACGCCGCTCAGACTCGAGTGACGTCGATGCTCAGCCCCACTGTGAGCACGATCATGATCAGCAAGGTCCCACCACAGACTATCTACGCAGCAAACTTTGGTGGCTGGGTATGGGGCTGATGGTTCTGGGAGAGAGCGGCAACTTCCTGTGTAAGTTTCAAGCGCTCCCGCTTCTTATCCTGGCGCGGTGCTCGGGACCATTCTCATCGCACGCGTTTGCATGCTGCTGACGACTGGCAATGTCCGCATCCATCAGCATACGGATTTGCTCCAGCATCTTTGGTAGCGCCTCTCGGAGCTGTTGCGCTGCTTTCGAACGTCATTATTTCGCCCATCTTGTTGCACGAACGGTTCAGACCGAGCGACCTGATCGGTATCGCCTTTGCAATTCTGGGCAGTGTTACCGTCGTCTTTGCATCAAAAGACAGGGACGTGCGGCTGGGCCCAGATCAGCTTTGGGACGCCATGAAGCGCTTGGAATTTGTCATCTACTCTGCGATCGCGTGTGGATCTGGCGCGCTTCTAGCTTGGCTGAGCACCACTCGATGGGCAGACAAATTGGTTTTGATCGACGTTGGTGTCTGCGCCATATTCGGTGAGCGGCTTGCGGTGTCCGAGCCTTCCAAACTACAGTCGAGGCGCACGCACGCTCACTCCTGCTTGAGCCCTTTCGCAATGCAGGCGGCTTTACGGTGCTCAGTACAAAGTCACTATCCGGGCTGCTCTCTGGCGGACCTCCGTTCGAGCTGCTCAAGTACCCTATCACTTACGGGCTGATCGCGGTGCTAGCGGGCACAGCGGTTCTGCAACTGACATATCTGAATCGGGCGTTGCAACGCTTTGATTCGCGAGAAGTCATTGTGAGTGCATCCATTTGCTTCTAACGCGGCCCGTGCTCACGTCCAGTCTGCTCGACAACCTTCACAGCCTTCACAATACGTGCTCTTTACGCTGTCCGCCATCACTGGAGCAGCGATTCTCTTCAGGGATTTTGAAGACGTGGACGCGCACAGACTCATCAACTTCTTGTTCGGAGTTCTCTGCCTCTTCAGTGGGGTGTTCCTTCTTACTCGGCAATCTTCCGACGCGCAACAGACGGACGAAGAGGTGCAATCCGAGCAGCAGCATGCAGGCGACCAGCCCACTTTTGTCAACTCTGTTGCGCCAGATCAGGCTGCGCTACTGCTACCCACAGTGCAGGAGGATGGAGATGATGCGGAGCGTCCTGCCCACGTGCAGTACGCCACTCCCCTCGCGGCAGCTCGCGGCAGGCCTGTTCGTCCTAGCTTGGTCGGCGCGGCCACCACTGGCACCAATCTACCTGCCATCTCGAGTTCTGCTGGGCTGTTTGGAACCAGTTTCACCTCCATCTCTGGCGGTCTGGCCGGGAACGCTGCTCGAACGCCTAGGCGGAGCATCGTTGGGCTGGCCCCGGCGTCTGCGTCTCTGAGCCAAGGCACCTACCTCTTGTTGGCAGCGGGCACCTCACCAAGCGCAGCAGGGCTTGCTCAAGCGCGCCAGGCACCCAGCACGGTGAGGCCCAGAAGGTCCCGCAGTCTGAGCCAGCCTAGCACTCCCACCAGAAGTCGCAGCGCTCGAAGTTCTCTCGGTCCGCATGCTATCCACGGCCTCGCTGCGAGAGATTCGACGAGCTCTGCTACTGAACAAAGCGGCTCGAGAAGGACTTCGGGCGACTTGGGAGGCGCTACTCCTCGTCCTGTTTCCTACATCGATAGGACAGGGACTGCACGCGAGGACCAAAGCGACGCAGGGAACCTGACGGAGGAATAGCAAGAACTCCTCTGGGATGTGGTCTCGAGAGACTTTGCATGATACCGTTCGTTGATGAGACGACAATGATAGCCTATTTACAAGCTTGAGCGGTGTAGCGTAGCGCCTTTGTTCCTCGGCTGGCAGGACTTGACGCTTTAGTGGTAGTCGTAAAAGGTGGGGGATGCATGAGTGCTGAGTGTGCTGTTTGGCGCGCCACACGAGAGTCGCAACAGTGCCGGCATCGGCCTCTCGGCTCAACCGATGCGCACGGCGGGATTGCGCATTCAAGATTCGCGACTCTCTGCTGAGTGGGACGCGAGAGCGCGAACTGAGCTATAGCTGCTGCGCTCAAATGATGCTCGCGATTTTCACGAAGCTCCGGATGCAACTTGGCACGCGCATCTTAGTGAATATGATATCTCGGTACCTACTCACACAGCAGTGTACATGTACATGTGCGGTCTACTTGACCCGACGACTTTGCATGTTTACTTGTCACCTGTGACATCGCGCCAACCTACGTACCATCATGGATCCCGTCTTGGTCGCGCTTAGCGGCTCTCGGTCCCCAGCCTGAGATCATTTATCCCTGAGATCGTCAACACGTCAACATGCCGACTCGCACCGACGAAGCGGAAGCGGCAGGCAAGAGCGTTTGGACAGCCGAGCTACGTGTACACAGCCACACCGGCTCGGTGCTCGTCTCAAAGCCTCTCTACGATCTTTTGCGAGCGGATGAGTTGGACGAGCCAGGTAAGAGGAATGCGAGCAAAGAGGATGCGCAGCCGGGCGATCAGGCGGCTGTCAATGGGGATCAAGCAGTGCGAGTGCGCGAATCGCAGCAAGCGCTCGAGGACGTCGCTGCATCTGTTTCCTTCCACGAAGGCTCCTCCGCGTTCGATCTGCGCTCGCTAGTGGTGCTCGCTGAGCGCGCAATCGAAGAAGATGAGGAGAATGCGAAAGACGTGAGTGGCGAAGCGCACAATGCTGAGAGCAGTGTGCCCCTGCTGATGCTTGCGTTATCTTTGCTCGCATCGCTCGCATCGCTCCAGCTCGCCATCTCCATCCCGGAATCCTTAGCTGTCCAGCATCTCTCTTCGATCAGCACATCGTCCCATGTGCTCGTCCAGTCAACCTCCGCAATCATCCTCTCTCGCGTCCTCCTCAGCATATCCGATGATCAGACTTTCGAAGCTGCAAGCCAATCTTCCCAGCTGCTCCGCGACGCTTTGCATGGGTCTATTGCGAGGCAGGGAGAAACGCTGTATGTTCAGGTCGAGGGTGGTGGAACTCTTGCGCTGAATGTGGTCATGACCGAGCCCGTGCTTCAGGGGGCCATCTTCACCCGCTTCACGACGACGCAGGACAAGAGGCGCTCAACGGAGCTGCTCGTCACGTACGATCAAGACTCCCGGCATACGTCCAGTGGCAGCGCGAAGAACGAGCAGCCAAGCCAGCGACCTGTAGCGATTGATCAGTCCCGGCTTTACCAACAGTCTCGTCCTCAAGAGGACCACCTCTTGATTGATGAGCGCTTCCTCGCAAATTCAGTCTTGGACGATTTCGACAGCGACGATGAGTTTGGGGCCGGCCCAGACGCAGCGCCCGCCGGTCGTGCGAACGGCCTCGATCGCCGTCTGAGAGGTGCACCTGCCGAAGGCGAACCAGGCGCCTCTCCCAGCTTGTTTGCTAGCTCTTCTCGCTTACAGCCCCTTATTCAGCACGATCGATCGACAACACTGCAAGCCATATCATCCTGGCGAGGACGCTTGCCTGAGGGCGAGCGAGGAGAAGATGTAGATGAGGAGCTAGCAATCTTGTTGGACGAGCAGACGCTGGCTTCCGTTGGTGCATTCGATGGAGACTGGGCGGTTGCGGAGCTCGAAGGACAAGGTGTCACACGGATTGCTCGCCTCTTTGCATCTCCCCGACCCATCTCACCGCCACCTGTCGCAGATCTAGACGAAGCCAGTTCGAGCACGGCGACGACGCTTGGCGCCCTGGCACTGCTTCCTCCAATGTTCTTGCAGAATCTGCACCGGCCAGCGCATTTTGATCCTGCTCGACTTGCTTCGCGCGTTTTGTTGCTGCGGCCTTGTCCCTCTCCGCCAAGATCCAGTCTGGGAGACTCGAGAACACACAACATGCCGCTATCGTGTCCTTTGCCTCTCCCCTTTGCCGACGCTCTCACCATCTCGCGCGTTGCTGGCCCGCTCAGTATCAATAGGGCATACCAGCCCATCTTTCTCGATGCCCTAAGAAGGTATTTCGAGGGGAGATCTCGAGTTGTGCGATTAGGTGATATCATCGCTGTAGGTATAGACGAGGGGCGTGTGCGATGGGTCAACACCAAAACAAAAACGTCTGATGAAGCAGAGGACAAGGGGGCGGAAGGCGATCAGGAAGACGACAAAGCCCCCGACTTTGAGTGAGTTGGACCGCCGCTTGATACCGCGCTACGCTATGCGCCGTGGCTCACCTACAGCCTCACCTCCATTTCAGTCTGCCGACAGTCACCGAGCCTGCTGAAGACACTGCCATAGTGTACTTCAGGATAGCCAGCCTCACTCCCGAGCTTTTCAGACCGCCAGGAACCGATGCGGCCTCGATCAACGAAGCAGAAGCGTCCATCCGCTTAGCGGCACAGAATGGCGAGATTGGATGCGTTGTGGAACCAACGCTGAGCAAGATGATCCAGACCGGCGTGGACAAGTCTAGAGTTGCAGACGCTTACGGCTGGCTCTCCATCAAAAGCCGCGTGCCGCCTCCTCCTTTGCACAATGCGGCGCTGCAAAGCGCCAAAAGTGCGTATCGCCAATTGACGGATCTTGTGCAAGCGACCTTGAGCTCGCGCACAACTAGCTACGACCTGCATTTGAGCGCCATCATCAAGGGTGCTCGCGGCACTGGCAAACGAACACTGGCACACTGGGTAGCTCGAGGTACGGGAGTGCCGCTTTTGGAAATCAGCTGCTACGAGCTGGTTGCGGACACGGACGCCAGGACGGAAGGAATGCTGAGGGCTCGTTTCGAGCAGGCGGCTTCTTGCGGACCAGCGATTCTGTTGCTGCGGAATGTGGAAGCTCTAGCACGCAAAAGCCAAGCTATGGAATCGGGACAAGAGCCCGCAATGGTGGGCGCTCTCCGAGACTGCATGGAGCAGCTCAAGCGGTCAACCAGCTCGACACAAGGCACGCCTACTTGGCCGGTCTCTGTTTTTGCGACGACCAGCGAGCCTGAAAAGTGTCCCACAGGCGTCCTGGCCTGCTTCAAGCACGAGGTGGAGATTTCGGTGAGTATCGTTGACCCGATTGTCACCTCATGCCGGGTGGTATGGCAGGCCAGCAGCATAAAATTTCTGACGCATTCCCCTCATCCAGGCACCGTCCGAGGACGAGCGTCTGTCAATCTTGCAGTCGACATTGCAAAGGTCCGTGCTTGGACCAGACGCCAGTCTAAAATCCATTGCCACCCAGACCGCGGCGCTTGTCGCTGCGGATCTGGTCGACCTGGCTGAACGAGCTCGTGAGGCTGCGGTCCAACGCGCGATTGGTACCCCGTGAGTCGCTCGACGGTCAGTCCATCAGACCCTCTGCTGGACAGCCCCACTGACGCTACCTTTCGGCCACGCGCGTAGCACGTGGCACGCAGCGAAGGCATCAGATCGTGACATTGTTCTGGCTGGCCTTGCGCTTAACGGTGCGGATTTTGAAGCTGCTCTCGGTAAAGCGCGCGCTAACTACAGCGAGAGCATCGGCGCTCCAAAGATTCCAAACGTTACTTGGGACGACGTCGGTGGTCTCGCGAGCGTAAAGGACGATATCCTCGATACCATACAGCTGCCGCTCGATCATCCCGAGCTGTTCAGCGACGGCCTCAAGAAGCGCAGTGGTGAGTGCCATGCATTGCTGTCTGCCCCCATCGTCGCTGATCTGTGCACCCCGCACGCCCACAGGCATCCTCTTGTATGGTCCGCCCGGAACGGGCAAGACTTTGCTTGCGAAAGCTGTAGCGACGTCGTGCTCGCTCAATTTTTTCAGCGTCAAAGGTCCAGAACTATTGAATATGTACATTGGGGAGTCGGAAGCCAACGTGCGACGCGTCTTTCAGCGTGCAAGGGACGCCAAGCCTTGCGTCATCTTTTTTGACGAGTTGGACAGCGTTGCGCCCAAGAGGGGCAATCAGGGAGACTCGGGTGGCGTAATGGACAGAATCGTTTCGCAATTGCTTGCGGAGCTCGACGGCATGTCTGGAAGTTCGGAGGGCAGCGATGTGTTCGTCATTGGCGCGACGAACCGCCCCGACTTGTTGGACCCTGCTTTGCTGCGCCCCGGACGGTGAGTGCTGCTGGTATCCAGCTCCGAGAGCAATGATCTCGATGCTGACGTTCGCGAGTCACCATTTGATCCAGCTTTGATCGGCTGCTGTACCTTTCAGTGTCAGAGACGCACGCTGCTCAGCTCAACATCCTTCAAGCCCTCACCCGAAAGTTCAAATTGGATGCAGAGCTTTCATTAGGGGACATTGCCGAGCAGTGCCCCTTCAACTTGACAGGAGCAGACTTTTACGCGCTGTGCAGCGATGCGATGCTCAAAGCCATGACGCGTAAAGCGAGCGAAGTCGATGGCAAGATAGGTGAGCCGAACACGTGTCTCGCAAGTCTCCTCATACGTCTTGCTGACCTTGGAACAATCTTTACCACTTTCAGCGGAGCTCAACGCGCAACCTCCGCCCTACGACTTCCCGCATCCTATGACGCCACAATACTACCTGGCCGAAAGGGCTTCAGCTTCGGATGTAGAGGTCCGCGTCTCGCGCGTCGACTTCGAGGCGGCGCTCAGAGAGCTGAGCCCTTCGGTCAGCGAAGCGGAAATGGCACACTACCGCGAGGTCCAAGCGAAATTCAGCAAGCCGCCTGAGGAAAGGGATGCGGAGGAAAAGCAACACGCCGGACTGCCAGCGCCGAACGGCAAGGCTTCCGGTCGCACCGACGACGATCTGGTGCGTGCCCTGCGGCAATTAGGTGTCGATGCGAGCAATGAGCGCGGTGAGCTAGCCCCGCCCATGCAAAATGGAAGAAGCAATGGGCACCAAGCGCATGCCAACGGAGGGAGTGCTACAGGTAGTGTAGCGATCGAAAACGCAGGCGAGCAGCAGAACAATTCCAAATCTGACGATGCGATGGGACATGCCGCTCCTCGCAAGATGGCTAAAGGCAAAGGAAAAGCGAGAGCGGAGTAATTTTTATTGCATTGACTCGCACTGTGCCCTGATTTGACACTCTCGGTCAGAGTGCCGCTGAGTGCGAATATTTGTGATCTCAGCTACGCCATCCTGCATCGCGCAATGCAAGGTTGAGCGAGTATTGGCTTCCAGACGCTTTGTGATCTGCTTTACTTCTTGGCCTGCGAAATGAGTCAGAAGGTCAGCGCACAGGCAGCTAAGCTTCCAAAGCCAAGAGCATGACGAGGCCGACGCACCTTGGCCTCGGCGAGATCCTTCTCGAGTTGCTCGTTGCGGTCGCGCACTGTGGCGGGCAGAAGCATAGGTAGTCGATTCAGCATGGAGGACTTGGCCAAGCGAGCACTCGAGGCCACGTTTCAACGTCGCTCGCATATGCCTGTGTGCTGCTCTCGCATATCCCGAAAGCAGGGGACTAAGCGAAGCGGCGTCGTGCAAGTGGTATACTTGTCGCTTGCAACCTCGCCCCACGCGGGAAAAAGGATGCCGCTAGCAATGATGGACGCAGCACCGACGCTCGAATAACGTCCTCGCTCTGCTTTCGATATTGACCGCAGACCATTCATATTCCCAGCTACTCACACTTCTTGAGCTCTTGCTCGTGACGACGTACGTAGCTGCAAAGAACAGCGGACCAGTTTTCAGCGGATAGTTGGACCGATGTGCAAATGGGCAGAACCAGACACCTCATTGGGCCTGGCCAGATTGCGCTCTCAATGAGAATGACGAGAACTCACTCATCCTCGTGGCTCTGGGCTCTTCCAGAGAAGCCCTTGCCAGGGTTGGCCTTGTGAGGCTCCTTGAACTCTGGATTCTCGTCCGACATGCTCCTAGCAGATACTGCGAATGTGCGACGAGCTGGGACGCTGGATGC